ATTGTGGGCATCAGGCTCAAGTCGAACAAGAACCTTACGCCAAGTCAGATCACGGTGATAGGCTCTCGCAATCTTTTCTTCGACCTTGAGGCCACTTTCATTTTCCGCGATGCTAGCAGGTGGATGCTGAGTGGGCGCCGCCTTCGATTGCTTGCCCTGTAGCGAACCAAATGCCAATGTGCGTCGCTTTGTCGGTAAAGGAGGTGGTATATCCTCCGGGTGGTAGATGCGGTCGTGGAAGATTGTCCGGGGTCGCGAGGCAGGGTCTAAAATGAAATCCGCAGGCGGTAAAGGTGGCATCAACAAGTCGCCCGCAGACTCGAAAAATGTTGTCTTTGGAGGCGTGTGTACTCCTTCGTGCTCGTGTGAGGAATGTCCAGGAGTAATTGGCATTATGCCATCGTCATCGCCAGTCTCAAACGTGCTCAGAGTCTGGCTACGCTTATAAATTCTAGCATTTTTGCTATTAGGGGGGTTCTTGCCCTGATTTAGGCGAAATAGCGAGAAAAAGCTGTCCAGGGGACTGTGAGGCGCACTCCCCGGGATATTTTCCTTCGCCACGCCCTCTGGCATTTTCAGGCTGGAGACGTGACTGGGTGGTGCTAGAAATTGTGCCGGTCTCGGGGAGGTTGCATCTTCATCCAAACTGTCGTTTTTGGGTCTTGGGGAAACCTGGGTGGTAGAATACGCAATTTGATGACCGGTCTCCTCCAATGTCGGGAGACTCAAAGGATGTTCTCCATCGGGGCGACCTAATCGCGGGGATTTCGAGTTGGCGCCTGTCAATTCTGCCCACCCCCATTCGGCCATAGTTCCAACAATTCCATTCTCCCTCCTCGCCTTTTCAACTCGATCCAGACCTTTCCAGTCTAAGAACAAAAGCGAGGACGTCCGCAAAGGAACTATCCCATCATTCACCACATTCGAGTACACTGTGCGATGCTGGAACTTCTTAAGAACCTCGTGGGCAGGACCGCAAGGAAGAATCCGTAGAAGCGGCTTGGCGCCAGGATCCGAATGGCCGGGGTCTTTCGCAGACTCTCCTCTTCCAGCAATAATGGCTCCCCAGCCACTTCGAACTTTCGGTGCTGTCCAACTCAACCCGAGATCCTGGCCAGTACGACCAACTAGACCTAAATCCAATGCAAATCGAACATACATTGGATTCTCATTGCTGAGACCGAGAAAGGGGGTTGCGAGAGCAATGAAGTTAACAGGCTTGATTTGCTCAAAGAACTGAGGCGAGTGCTTTTGGATATATGCGATTGCATATGTCTGAATCAGCCCGCCGAGGGAATGGCCAACAAAACTTATGCTTGTAATCTGGTAGGCATGATCTTCGTTTTGAAATTCTTGGGCATTCTCTTGGGGGGTTGATTCGGCCGAATGAGCAAGTGGCTGAGCTCGCTCCTTACGAGCACTAAAAGGTCGAGAAAATGGGTTCGACTTTGGGCCCTTCAGAGGGAAATAGGGTTGGTCGGGATATGTGAGAAGCAGGACGTATTTGGCCAGTCGTTTGCCGAGATATTGAATCCCACGCTCAGTCCGAACAGCATTGCCAGAGAACCCTCTGACAATGACTTGCTCTTCGTCGTCATCGTCAGGGTCATCGCTAGTCTGGTTATTTTGATCCCCCTCAACATGACTGGATTTACTGCTGACAAAACCAGGGATTAGGAATTTTGGATGCCCAAGCGCTCAAAGGGGGCTTCATACCTTGACGGGTTTTCTCGATCATCCGGTCCAACAGGGCCGACGTGGAGAGCGCTTGCTTTATTGTCCTTCTTCTTGGACTTTCTCATGGCTGCGTCGATGCTCTCCTTCATATAGAGCATGTCTGCACCGAGGTTGCTGTGTAACCCATGTGTCAGTAACACGAGATGCACCTTCTTCTTCTTGGCACTTTTCATCGGAACTTCAGCAGAGCCCTCCGGCGCTGGATTGTCACACAGAGGTTGCGAGTCCTGAATCTTCTGGTCAACGCTTTCGGAAGCCGGCGAAGCCGAAGGGAATGGCGGATTGCTCCATAGACTAGTTGTATCGTCGACATGAAGAGCGATTGATTTTGTGTACACGCCTTTCGAAGCAAGCACCTGACTACCTCTAGTTTCGGGTAGCCAATGGTCTTGCAACTTTGCTGGAGGCCCCGGAGCGCTATTTCCGCTACTCCAAGCACCGCCCGAGAAATATGCCAGCGATTTTTCATCACGGCCCACCAGCAGTTCAAAATGGACTGCTGCGCTACTTGAGAATATCACCTGCGATTGTATTTCAATGATCCAGCTAACGCTCTGTCCACTTGCCGGTCCGCCTTGACCCGGAGAGCCAAAGTCGTGGGCTTCCTGGAGATTAGTCGGCACCTTGATGATGGCGTCCCAACCACCTCCGGCCTTGAGGTAGGGCTCAAACTGCGGTGTACCCTCCAGATCCTGTCGCTCATATTTGGTATTGGGGTCAAACTGCGAGGGATAGCAAGCAGCGTATAACGTGTACGGACCATGGAGGTATGCGGCACGCAATGGGATGGCAGATGTGTTCTTCACCCTCACGTAGAGATTCGAAGGAATGGGAAGGATCGGATCGTCCGCCGGAGTATATGTAATCGTGTATCTATTGGACCATTTACTATTAGCGATCCAGGAGGACTTCGGACTTGAGGGGCAATCCGGACCAGACTCACCTGACGACTTCCCCAACGCGAACACTGCCAACTTGATGGATTAACAACATGTCGGTCGCTTCCTTTGTATCCACCGGAGTTGTTTGCCAGCCGGAGAAGGTATGAAATCGCGAGTTTTTATTGCAGGGCTGTGCTGCACCTTGGTCTGGGGTTTGGGAGGCCGAATAGGTGCGCGCAGTGATCAGCATCGAATCTAATGGGCAGTTCCATTATAATCAAGCAAATTCCAAGGCGCTAGATAAGAGAGACTAGCGAGACAACAACAATATCATTTGCTGGCGCATCCCATATGCTGGGATGGGTGGAGTGTGGTGGTTTATGGGGTCCAATCCCGGAGATGGCGGGAAACACATGATTACATTCCCTTTACGGATCAACAACTCTATGAACTGGCCCTTGTTTATAAACCATACACAATGCAATGGACTCTTCAGTTCTAATCTAATATATATTTCTATCGCAACTTGGTGAATCTCTGTCTACTTGATCAAGTTCAGCAAACGGCTAGGTTCTTTCCGAATTTCCACCCAACCATCTTTTTCAACAGCGACGATCTTTCCATCAATACAAACGCGTCGCCACCTCTCCTCATCTTCTTGAAAGTCGATTCGAACTTCTTCAGTGTCGGCGTAGGTAACCGTATCTTCCATCACATGCCGACCGCCCTGATAGGCTAGAGTCATCAACTGCATCGCGTCTTCCGCCGACATGGGACCGAAGCGGATGAACCTCATTTGTCCATCCAGGGGAACTGAGTCTGGGGAAATCAAGAAGTCCTTCTCGAGTCGTGGAACGAGTGTAGCAAGCGCATACATGTGCTCAAGCTCTTCCACTGCTTCTTGGGAACGTGCCTCGTTCGGGCCATTCGAGGTGGTTAATGTGATTTTGCCTTTAAATTCGTGAGGCGGAGTGCCGTCCGAGGGATTAAGTAGCTCATTTGCGGCCATCTTGAAACGATCCACTCCGAATTTGCGATATTCGAATGTATCGCTGTCTGCAACTAATGCAGCATGGAGCCCCCAGCTCGCAACAACGGCCCCGTATAATGTGTGGTGAACATCGGTGTCAATATCGGCTCGCTGGCGACCTTCATCGATGACCAACCGACTGCCAGGTGAAAATCTGGCAGCAAATATCGGTATAGAAGCTGAACTGCCTCGAAGGAGGGTTGAAAGACCCGACACCGGACCAGATCGTAATCCAATAGAACTTGCCATGGCATTCCCTGTCCCACAAGGAATCAACACAATATTGGGAGATACACCGATCGTCTTCTTGGATTTGTAGAAAGCCTCGAGAATGTCGATAAGACCCCCGTCGCCAGAAAGAAGGATGATGGTCTGGGGAACGCTATTATGAGCCCGCTCCAGGAATTTCGATCGTGCGAGCTCGATGATCGTTTGCGCCGACTGCGTCTCGTAGAGCTCGTAATTTTCTAGCCCAACATATGTAAAAAGGGGCCGCACAACATCTTCAAAGACTGTCTTGGCTTTCCCCGTTCCTGATCCAGTAGATACTACAACCTGGACGATAGGTGGTTCATCTTCATTCCGAAGATGGCTAGGAACCTTGGTCACAAACGGAGATAGTTCTGCAGGCAGGGACTCGATATCAATCTTTTTTAAAGAAAAGTCATCGGACTTCGGCCCATCCAGTTCGGTTTTCTGAAAGAACAGCACACTGTACGTGGGTGGATTGGACAACACACAGAGAATGTCGTTAAAGTCAATCACATACTCAGCGCCTGTGTGAGATGTGTATTTCAAGGTGCTGTCGACTATATCGACTGCCAAAGGGCCAGGCATCTCTGCTATGAGTATGTAGAGTAGTGAGAGAAAAATCAACAGTTGACAAGGCGGGGTTTACGGCTTACCCGGACTTCTTAACCATCCATGTCGTACTACTTGGGTAAAAAGACGACACGCTTTCTTGGAGAGATCTCATTCTTTGATTGTTATTATTATTATATGACTGTCATTTTATCAAAAAATCGAAATTACTTGGCTATCAATATTTTGGCTTAACATATTTATACACATAACCGAAACTTTCGATCATTGAAATAGAGGGTTGAATTCTTATATCAGCAGTGCTGGTGCTACCTATTTATATAGGACCTGGGATGTAATGCGTACGGAAGATCATGGAGAATCAATTATATGTGGTCACCTCAGGATGACGCCCAATAAAGCTGCTTCGATGCACGACCTTGCCTATGACATACCTAGGTAATCATTAGCGGAGAACCTTGGAAACATCCCATCATAGTTAGAAGGAAGGGGCTGTAAGTGGAATACCTACTTCATTTTATGTCGTTTTCTTAAGTTTGTTTGATCGCCTCCACTTCAATCTCAATTCTCATCGCCGAGAATGCTAGTTGGGGCACAGCGATAGCGGTCCAAATAGGTCGATGACCCGGAATACGCTCCTTAAGCTTCTTGACGGTAAGATCAAATGAGGAGTCGATATTGACGTGGTAGCTGCGGATTGAATAAACGTCTTCCCAGCCGCGAAGACCCGCGGCTTGCAGCACCCTGTCCACATTTTGAAATGCTAGATCGACTTGACCGGGAATATTGTCAGCATCCAGAGCACCGGTCTGGTCCCAACCTCCTTGCCCGGAACATTTGACAATATTTCCCAAGACAACTGCTTAGGAATAATGACATAGATCGCTGTGCTTCTGACAAGCGCCTTTTTCGTTGATATAAGACAGAGAAGACATTGTAATCGTGAGGCGGAAGACAGGCAGTCAGGTTGATGAATTGAGATAACTTAGGTGAATTGAGCTCACGTTGACGTAAATGTATATATATTTTCTTAAAATGTCACGGCAGAGCACCGGTGGAGGTGTTTGGAGGTGGTTCTCCACAGTCTCCACGGTATTGGCTGCGATTATGACCTCAACTTCCAGGCAAAGAATTAATAATCACCTCCATTAATATTGGAGACACTTCGCTTTTCATCCACCGATCCTCTCAAATACTAGCACCCCTACGTTCACAGTGCGGATTGGAGATTCGAGATGGATGAAATCTCAAGGGCTGAACCCGAAGCTTCTCCAACGGACAGAAGAAAACCACGAATATGCCGGTATTGTAAGCGTCACTTCCGGCGGTATGAACATCTGGAAAGGCATCTTCGAATCCGTGAGCATAGCTTCCTATTAGATAGATTGCCGATCATTACGTTAATAATGTCTAGATACCAATGAAAAACCATACAAATGCACCTGCGGTTCTTCCTTCAGCCGGCGTGATCTCCTGAAGCGGCATGAAAACATCTCCCACGCTCTAATCAACCAACCAACGCAGCAACCATCACCCGTAATTGGCAATGACAGTGAAGATGCTCAATCGCAAAGCAGCCAGATTCATTTAGATCCAGGGATATACCCTTGGCAGCCTCTCAACTTTGGGAATATAACAACTGGATCGGTCATTCAGAACGAGCCACTTGCCGATTACCAACTAGAAGGTATGTTATAGTCCAAGCCCCTAGGATGTGTGACATGAAAAAGGATGCAAAAGATAACTAGCTGCCCTACCATTTTTATTGTTATCGTCCAATGCACATGCTAAATCGATGCAGGAAACCCTCTATCTAGTGCCCAAGATCTACTGGTCCTCCAAAGCTTGGAAATGTTCAGTAACAACATAGGACTGAACAACGAGTGGCACTTACCGTCTGAACCAAGCATCACGCAAATATTTGCTAGAGACTTCAACATGAATGCTCTCCCAACCCCATCAACCGCATATCCATCTCGTGAACAGCCCTCGGGCCCAGACCAAACACTAAGCAAGCTTCCAACTGAAAGAGAAGCCGTCGGTAAGGTGATTTCCAGCATATGTACAGTGAGAGATATAGTCTAACCATTAGATACAGCGGAATTTGGAGTGCTGACATTACCAATCTTAACGGTCACAAACCTGCATCGAGAAAGCCTTCTGGAGGCACTGACAAAATCCCAAACCAGTATAACAGATATCTCTTTGCCATCCTGCCATTCGCTCTCAAGATTTGTCAACGGTTTTTTCGATGGATTTTACCCCCATCTACCGGTAGTTCACATCCCAACATTCAAGATTGATGAATGCGAACCAGAGAACCTCTTGGCCATGTGTGCACTTGGGGCCGAGTTTCGACACGAGAATAGAAAAGCAGTGCTGCTCTTTCGAGCTGCCAAGGATGTGCTCCAACAGACGATACGTGAACGAGAAATGGTAGAAACCGAGAGAAAGTCGTATACTAAAACTAGCGGGAATACGACTCATTCCACACACGAAACCCACGACTCTGACTTCGAGGTTCTGCAACAGAGGGCAGTTATGCGTGAGGCACGTTGTACCTTCTTGCTCATTGCGTTTGCAACCTGGCAGAATGAGGAGAGCATAGCTCGAGAAGCTTTTAATCTCCAAAGCTCCTTGGCTAGGTGCATCAGAGAATCTCGGCTGGAAGAAGTCGAACAGTTTCTACATGCCAATAGTACCGATTGGCGCTCTTGGATCCAACGGGAGTTAGACAGAAGGCTGAAATTTTTCTCGTTTGCTTTTTTGAATCTCCATTCTATAGCATTCGGCACACCACCAGTCATATTGAGTGAAGAAATAAACCTTCGTCTGCCGTGCAGCTGTCTTGAGTGGATCGCTCCGAATCAAGAGAAATGGAATTTGATTCGAAGATCGGGCCATCAAGAGCAATTGCTGTTTCAGGATGCTCTCTGCCACATATTGAAAAGTCACCAGGAATCGCATTCCTCAGACTCACAGCCAGTACCATCACCCTTGGCAAACTACATTCTTTTGCATGCCGTCATACAAAAAATCATCATCACCTGCCATGCCCTCGGACCTTATAATGACGTGGATCAGAGTTTAATAACTGGATAAAAGGAGATTATGCGGTTAGTTAACCACCCTTCATCTAAAACTACTGTTTCTAATTTACAACTTCTTTTCTTTCGTAAGAAATGCTCTTCATGCATGGACTTCTCTATGGCAACGAGCCCCGGAATCGAGCCTGGACCCCCGGAATCCTAATGGCCCTGTTACGTTTACATCAACTGCGCTATTGGGTGTTGCATATGTACGACTTGGTCTCGATTTAGGATCATATAAAATACTGCGATATCGAGACCCAAAGCAGATTGCCAACCAGCTACTGCAGATTCCACGCTTACCTGCTGGTCCTCATCTCCTTCCGGCAATATTACATGCAACACATGCCCTCAGCATACCGGTCAAGCTCGGGGTGAATTTCGTCGCTCAAAGCCATGCGTTTGTGTGGAATGTCCAACACTCACTCTGTGCATTGGAATTTGCCGTATTCCTCAGCAAGTGGTTATTCTGTATCACCGACTGCCAGACCAGAAGACATCTTGATGGTATGTGTCTCATTTCGTTCAGTCATATTCAAACGGCAACATTGTCTAATCCATTCTATGCAGAGCAGGAGACACGCCTTGTGAGCTGGATCAGCGATATTGTCGAGGAAGGACGAACATCTGGAGATGACGACTTTTGGTCAAGACCTTCACAGCCGTCTGACTGTGCCTACCTTGGGTTTGCTGTAGTCAAACTATGGGCTCGCCTCATACGAGGAAACGAAAAATGGTCACTAATAAGAGTAATTGGTGACGGGCTTGATATATATGCCGATACTTGTGAGCAGCGCTATGCACATGCACAGACAAGTCCAATGCCTACATAAACATCCACATATGTAGTTTCTGGGCGATTACATACGAACATTTAGCGACTAGCCCAAAATATTGGAAGATCATAACGACAATCGGAGTGTCCAATTGTCATTGTAGTGGCATATGTATCACATCCATCAAAGACCAGGCATGTAGCTAGTTGCAGCTAGTCGAAACATGACCATCCTTCCTATTAGCCATAGCTGTACCACTGTATGTTGAATTAAACGTCTAATCCACATAAGCCTTTTTGACGTATGAAAAATTCCCTTCACACCAATCCTTCTTGACCCTTCGAATCTTCCCGATTTGTCTTTTTGCACCAACGCTTCCAAGCACGGGAAGTGTCACCCATTGGAACTGAGAATGGTAGAGAGTCTTCACACAGATAATGGAGGACAGAATAGTATCCAAGCAAACTGGAAACGAAAGCGAAAGCACCAGCAACGGTCATGGGATTTGCACTTTTGTCGATCAACCCGTCGGCTAAGACAAAGCTGGACGCGGCATCAAAAATGAGACACAGTTCAAGTGTGAGGAACAAAAGAATATAAACAATGTTCCTGTTCGACAGGGTTAGCTTTTCATAGTAGAGAAATGTAGAGTCGAAGGAACTCACAGAGCACAGCTGGCCAAGAGAAAGAAGAGGTTGAAGACCGCCCATACTAGAGAAGAGAATGTCAGAGAACGAGAGAGATAATATCAAAGCACAGTGCTTACACAAGACAAAGAAACCCAGGGCGTTGTGATATTCCGGAGTATAACCGCCATATGCATCCACGATGCCTAATGCCGGAATCATAATTACTCCGTAGCCACCATAAAAGAATGCTGCAGTGATGAAATGTTAATGTCAGTGCCTTTACTAGCAAAATAGGGAATGTTGTCATTACGAACCATAGGCAGAAAGAACTGTATAGGAAAATGTATTCCCTCGGGCCATCTCCCATTGAGCGGAAATGAGCATACCGATTCCAGCGACAAAGCAAAGATCACCCATGAAAATAGTTTGGGTGTAGACACCACGGAAGTTCATCATAGCCAAAGACACAGATAGTAGAGTGGTAGCAAAGCCACCCATCGCTAAAGGTGCCTATGTGACCGAAGGTGGCATGTTAGTATATACGTACCCTGCATCCAAAACTTCAAGTCATCGAAGGATCTTACAGGGTTTGCTAGATGAGCACCAGGCTTCCTAATCGATTGAGCCATTCTCGAGACCTGTGTCTCATTCTCCTTCACAGTAGACATTTCGCCGGATAACATCGATATACGGAGAATGAGGCCTGGGCGAGTCTAGTACAGATCCAAGATTTCTTTTCAACATTTCAGCGAAAGGTACTATATAAAGATTCTTTCCATAAACCCGGATAAGCCCGAGTAAAATCAGATTCCCGAGGGATTTTGTGATTATTCGTAGCCATGGACGGAAAAATTGCAGCTTCTATGACAAATTTAACCCAACAAAAATGTAATAGCCCTAGAGATCAGCAAAGATCCGAGTGGCTTGCCGGGGTTATTGGGGAGAACGGCCGTCAGAACCAGCCGATCGATTCGATTCTTAATTTCTATTACGCTACTCCATATTTCGTACCCTTGTTTTACCCCAAGAGTACGGCCAAACTGGTGCGTGTCTCCACAGGCTTGGCCGCTACCCCACAGGGGTTGGCCGGGCTTGACCGAGTACTAGCTTGAATATTCGAATGGGAACGGCTCAGTCGGTTTTTTTTTATATAGCATTAGAGGGAGGTTACAGGACGGGGTATTCTTTAAGGGACTGAACCTAAGGGGGAAAAAAATCTAACTGGAACAGGCAATTCATAGGTCCTCCGTTTACTAGATACATGATACCGCCTTCATAAGGCAGGTACATAAAAGGGGCAATTCTATCCAAATGTATCGGTCATAAAATAAAACAAAAAAAAAGGCCATCACAAATACAATGTTCCCGAAATATAGATCTTAGTTCTGAGTTGGGGAAATACCACGCGGGGGTGACGATGAATTCTCGCCGTGAGAGTGCTTGTCACTGAGGTTTACCGCGATGAAAGTCTTGGGTAGTTCCACACTACATGCAATGATCAGTAAAAGTCCAGGGAGGTTAAGGTAGAATACAACTTACGTGTTGAATTTTGCCTTCAATGTCTCAATCACCTCCTTCCAATCCTGATGGGCTGTTAGGCTTCGGCGTGGCGTGCAGCCGATGGCATGTCTGGAATCGAGTTGCACATCAAGCGGGTCGAAGGCGTGACAACCAGGGCTGACTGAGATCCGGATGGAGTAAGAGTAGGAGTCCGATTCACTGTCTCGAGCTTCGTAAAGCTCAAAGCAAATCTGAGAGAGGTAATCAAGTTCTGGGATGGCACTCCTGGCAATCTTAGTTTGAATTCCACCTTCCAAGATACAGTTCAAGAGGGTGTAGATATGAGATTCCTTGGTGAAGTAGAAGAAGGACTTGGCATCCTGCGAAGCCTGCACCTCTTCTAAATCTCGAACAATTTCTTGAAGAAGGGGAAGAGAAGTTAGGAGGCCAATCTCAAGTTTCTCGCTGTCGGTGATTCCATATTCCTGAGGCGTCACGTAGTCGAACAAAACCTTGGCTAGCTTGTACAGTTCCCGGAGCTGAGAAAGCCGCTCATCCATCTTGCATTTGGAGGATTGGGAGCCAGGGAAAAGCTTGAAGTAATGATCGTACGAATCATCTAGTGCCCGAAGATGCGGTAGCGACTCGAGAGCAAGGATACGTTTCTTCAACCCAAAGCGATGGGCAAACGTCTGGGTTTCGGTGCGCTCTTCGGATTTGTCGTTCACGGCTTCCTGTCCAGGTTTCCCCTCCATACTCGTGTCTACCTTTGCTGCGCTCTTGCTTTTCTGTTCTTCAACAGAGTCACGGGGACTGTCCTGAGGCATGAAGACCCATTCCAAAAATTGTCTATTGTGGAGTGCATCGAATTTCATACTGTCGTATAACTCGGAAAGCTTGCTCGGGTCGACCTTCTCGGTGTCACAGAACTCCGCAAAGAGTTTTTCCCACCGTTCCTTGAAGAGTCGGGGATCCTCACCCGCGCACCAACGGCCCTGGATGCTAGATATACCAGGATCCACGGAGGGTGGTTGGCTCTGGGTTTCAGGGTCATTGGATGGAGTCTGGAATATGTGCGGTGCACTTTCGAGTTTCTCAAAGTTGTGTCGCATGACACTCCGGTGAAACTTCATCAGTTCAACTACCCTAGCAAGCACAACCGAAGGTTCTGGGATGTTTCTGTCCTTGGGCCAAGCAAATTGTGAAGGCGCAGACCCTTCTCGCAAAAGCAATTTCAGCTTTTTCTTGACTTTATCCATGACATCCTTGGCGGCATTTGAGTCGTCAAGCAGATCTTTCCGAACTTGTATCAAGTCTTCCGGGATATCCTTCTGGTCCAAAAATGAGCATGCCCATATTTGTGCTTTAAGAATTATTAGCTTGATGTAGGTCTTGGGAAGGAAGATAGCTCACCACTGGTGCTCACACGACGTTCTGAGCTGGTAAATATACGGACGTTATTCAACGCCTCCTTGTTCATCAGCTTGAGATCATCCCGCATGTTCAATCCAAGATCCTGCGATTGATAACGTGCAGCATGTGTGGGCTCGCCACCCCACTTGATGACAAGTTGTAGTTTGTCCAGGATCAAGTCATTCTCGGCAGCAGAGAACCGGGAAAAAGTCGCACCTGAGATAGAATCACTTCGTGTCTGTGATCTGCGCAAGTCCTCGTCCTCTGGCGTGAGCCCCTCTCCCTCATTGGGTACAGGTGCAGGGGGCTCTTCACGGGGCTTGCTCTCAGGCAATGGAGTTGAAGCTTCCACTGTGCCCTGCTCTCCCATTTCTTCTGGCTTTCTTTTCCGGAACATTGGCTTGATCTGTACTTTGGTACCAGGCCAGCCGCCCTTCTTATCTAAAGATGTGCGGAGCAACTGAAGCTTCTCCATGTCTTCTAGGCCCTTCTCCATAGCCAGCTTGACCGCATCAGAAACACTCGACAATGCAGCTTCCCCCTTGATCACTATCTCGTTCTGGTGGCCTTTCAGCAAATCCACAAAAGGTTGGCTATGAAAAGTGAACTTGAATTTTTGCTTCGGGGTCCGATCTGCGTGTCGAATCACTGCCACCATGCCCTTCAGCTTCCAAGAGTGTTTGGAAGCAGGAAGGGGCGGGAGGGCTTCGTCATTGGCGTGCTGCACCGAAAGAGCCGGGGATTTCGTGTTTGAGGGACTATAGCCACGACTAGTAGAGTAGGCTTCCCGGGAATTCAACTTGCTGAGAGCAGCACCAATATCGGTACTCTCTACCCCAGACGATGTTACTGATGGAGTACATGACTCTGAGGCCTCATTAGGTTTCGGGCTTTGGCCGTAAAGTCTGGAAGTGCTAGGAGACTTCAGCAATGTCTTTAGCGCTTGGCGATGAGATCCTGTCGTGCTCCGTCTGGATGAGGATGAGCCCATGTCCGGTGATGGCGGCTCGGACGATTCTGATATCCCTTCGCATTTGCGTCTTTCTTCCAAGAAAATATCCCTGAGGATGTTGGCACACTTATCGTAATAATCATTGTTGTCCTTGACGAAGCTCCAGCCGTTGACATCAATGACATAGCTTTTATCTCCCACGCGGAGCATGTCAAAGCCACAAATTCTTTGACCAAATCCATTTGAGATCTTTGATGCGATTATTGCCTCCTCCTTGCCAAGCTTCGTGATGTATCGTACCTCCTTCCCGTGGGTATTGCGCCGAACGAGACCGTCCACCACGGGCGATTTGCGCGTCTCTGCGTGACAAAAGTCTGGCCCAACGGTGTAGGCTTTGACATCTTCCGCATTGTCAACCCTGAGGAATTGTTCGTATAGATAACTTGCGTCCTTCTCAGTGACAGACCTTGGAACAGTGAGATTGGGATCATATTCTGAGCTTTTGTTGCCGACCTTTCGGAATAGTCTTCTTCCACCGCCGCCATACTGTTGATCATTGGGGA